GAAGTCTCTTATATGTAGGTAATGATTTTTAGAGTTTAGGCCAAGAAATTTAGTGAGTAATGCTATCATCTCTGGTTTAAAAAGAAAATTTGTAGTTTGCAGGGAAAAAATGATGCATGATGGTGCAATTTGTTGTGTAGGTTTCAAATATTCGTGCAAAGTCCTACCCTGGTTAACATGCTCATTATTAACCTCATTCTCATCGTGATTACTCCTATCATCATCAACCATGGTTGTGTGTGTGAGAGAATGTACAAGACAATTAATAGAATAATTAAATAAATCCCTAAATAATAGTTTTAAATCCTCCTGATTCAATCGTCCACTTAGCGTCATGATGCCAAGAGCTCATAATAAAATCAATTAGAAGGGGTAGAAGTATAGAACAATAAATTAAATAACAAAAAAAAAAATATAATGAAGTTACTAGATCTTCGAAGAATCACAAATTAGGCAAACCTCATAGATATGGTGGCGTGCTCTTTCTCTTCTAACACATCCCCGACAATGGCGCCAAAACTTACTACAACTTTAAATATGTATCACACCCAAGTGTAAATTGTTGCAAAGAAATATAATATTCGGAAGTCCAAAGTCGAACCACAGGAAATTGCATATACTTGGAATGCAAAAAAAAAAAAAAATCTTTGAAAATTGATATAGAAAATTGTTTGTTCAAAAGAACATAAATTTTTTGGTTTAAAAAAATAGAAATTTGAAATATTAAAATATCAGGGTTACCCTTTTAATTCCACACATCGATTATTAATGATCCAGTTTTTGAACTTAATTGAGAATCAGCAGAAGAATGATCCCAATAAGAATATGCAGCGATAGTAATATGAACAACATTCGAAAGTATAAATGACAGTTTATCTGAATAAATCTAGGAATCTAAATGAAGATCACAAACATTCACCATGTCGAATGTAATTAGCCAATAATTAAACTAAAAATAACACAATATCCAAGACTAATTAGTGAGTTTGGTATTTCCGGAGGTAAAAAACACGCATCCGGAAGCGTGTCTATAATCAGCCCTAGCCTATTTTGAGTATTTTCTCCATTTTTTTGTCCTATAAATAACCTAGAGACGCATTTTAGGGTTCCTTTATCTAGTTTCAACCCCCCAATAAAGCCTAATAGTGATTGGAGGGAGAAAAATGGGTGACATCTTGGAAGATTAACAAGTAGGAATTACACAAAAATGTGTTAAGATCCACTATTTGCATATTAAGGTTGGGTTTCTTTCCTAAATCTATTCATGAGAATTTTGGTTATGTATATATACCTTTTTGCCAATCTTTAAACAAATTAATGGATTTAGCAGTGAAGGGGTTGACACTTATAAAATACACGGACCATTCACAAGGCATATCCCTGTAAATCGGATTGAGTGCTTGTCATTTGGGGGTGTGTATCATACAATTTTTCACACACACGTGTTCCTATGTGGCCAACTTAACTCAACATAAACCACCTTTATCTCAATTAGTTGGGATCCATGATAAATTTTATTTCTTCATTTTGCTTACAATTTTTCAGACACAAGTGTTCCTATGTGGCCAACTTAACTCAGCAAAACCTTTATCTCAATTAGTTGGGATCGACGACAAATTTTATTTTTTCATTTTGCTTGATTAAGGGCACATTTTTTATTAAATTGTGAGTTATTATTTCTTTTTTTTTTATTATTTTGTTCAATATTATTATTGAACTACCTCTGTTTGTCACATTATCATCGATATGTATTAAAACACTTTTTCTCACTAGTGCATTACTATGTCTTCTATTCACATGTTCAAACCATTAAAGTCCATTCTCTATTCATTTATGTCTTATGGGTGCTACTTCTATGGCTTCATGGATGTACTCATTTCTAATTCTATTATTTCTTATTTTACCACACATCCTTCTTAGGAGTCTTATTTCTACAACACTTAATTTTTTAGCGTGTTGTTTTTAATTGCTTAACATTCTGTACTGTACAACATTGTTTATCTAATGACTGTAGTATAAAACTTGTCTTTCAACCTAAGTAGTATAAGTCAATCACATATTACGCTAGATGTAGTTCTCAACTTAGTTTGTCCCACTTTACACTCTGTGATTAACAAAGTCTTGATCTCTCCCAACGTATGGATACTTATCCCAAATATTAAAACTTCTCTTTCAACCTAAGTAGTATACTTTAGTCACATAATACTCTAGATACAATTCTCGACTTAGTTTGTCCTACTTTGCACTCTATGATTAACAACATCTTGATCTCTCCATCGCTATGGACAACTGACCACAAAATTTGAAAGAGTTCGCTCTTAATATATACGGTAAAAGTATATTTCATATATTCAATTTTATTTTACTTACTAATCTTTTTATCCCAAAAATTTCCCTCCAAACTTCTATTGGAGGCAAAGTTGGAGCAGGTTGTGATAAGGAGGGAATATTAGGAAGATTGGAGGGTGATTCACATGCTAAAGCAATGAGTGATATGGGATTCGAGTGTGGAGGAGAGACCTCATTACTTAGCGAAGAGGGGTAGATGGTATGGAATTCGATGGAGAAGATTCTAAGGATAAGGAGTTGGCGTTAACACTAGGTGTAAAAAAAATGGGATAGTTAAATTAGTGGAACAATAGATGGCATAGAAGGCATGGTCAGAAATGTTTGGGGAAATAGAAGTACCTCTATTGGAGGCATGTGAAGATTTGCATGCATCATATGCTAGAAAATAACACTTATCAAAGACAACATGCCTAGAAATATAGACTCAATTGCTGATGGAATCAAGGCTTCGATACTCTTGCGGATTCAAACTATAAACGTTGAAAATATGACATTTATTTCGAAAATGTAACTTATGAGAATTATACGGGTGAAGTAAAGGATAACATGCACACTTGAAAAGGAAGAATGATTAGAAAGAATTGAGGAACCATATGAGCAATTTGAAAACCTAAACCATTCCCCACTGCAACTCTGTCTTGAAGATTTAAAGGTTGATGAAGTGTAAGATTTTTGAGGTCTATCGTGATATAGTTATTGTCTCCACTATCAGCTAACCAAGGATGGTCTTCGTGGTGTGGAGTATTGGTACGGGCTACCATGGTGGCCAATTGAGTTGGAGGATGTCGTACTTGATAGGAATAATCCATCTGGTGGTAACAACCAAGGTCTTTATGATTTGTTTTACCAAAAATTTGTCAGGGACCTCAACTGTTTTTGAAGGGATTAAAAGATGCTTGACTAGTGGCCAAACGTGATTACGAGGAAACATTGTCGCATTGTGAACATTTTTTTTTTGGTGATGATTCTTTGGTTGATGAGGAAACTTTGGTGAACCATGGCCTTGAAACTTCTGATTTCGTGAAAAAGATCCAGGTTTTTGAGAGAGAAAAATGCATAGTTGTTGGTGTCCGAGAGAGTGGTGCGTTGTTGATTTTCCAGCATCATCTCATAATTGAACAATTGGACTTGGAAATTATCAATGGATAGACGGTTTTCTCTAGAAACAAAAGAGAAAGAAGTGACAAAAAGATTAAAGGCATGATTTCAAAAAATTATAATAAAACTGATAAGATCCTCATCATCAACAAGTTTTCCTACAGCAGTAAGACCAAAAAAAACACCATAATCTCAAACATAAAAATCTGCACGAAAAACACGTCTCACTTGTGCAAATACAACATTTGAGTATGAAATTTTTGTAAAAAACGTGCTTTGTAAATACACTTTTACATTGAAAACTACAGATTAAACTTTTACTTCCCATCGAAATATTACAATGTAGAAAGTAAGGAAGAAAAATGATTTTCTTTTTTGTTTTGAAATCACAGTAATTTAGTCAAAACTAAACATGTCATCACTAACAAGCATTGATAAGTGTGTACAAGTTTGAGACAACACATAAATAGCAAGACATGAGGTTGTGTTTCCTATTCTTGCAAATTAGCCATTACATCAAAAAGTAAATATAAATAGTAGATATTTACTCAAGTCATTTATACCCAATAATTATAAAAACAGTAAAATAGGATAAAATTATAAAATTGCAAACTTTTAACGTGTCATATTGTGATTAGGCTGAAAAAAGTATTATGAGATCATATTCTAACTTTAGACAAAGAATTTTTTTTTAAAATAGGTCAATTACATTTGGGCCTTTGTCCTCTAAACTATCAAATTTCTCACATTACTTTTTAAATTTATTGTTGTTTGAGTTTTAAATTACTTCAATTATTAACTTTTGTTCAAATTCTCACAATAAATTCAGATAAAATTAGGAACTTTAATGATCTGTTTGATTGGAGAGATTAAATGTTAGAGGGATAAATTTTCCGTCATTGAAAGAAAAAAAAGATGTTTTTCATATATTGTGTTTGGCAAGAAGGACGTAAAAGTGGAAAGAATTTTTTTCTTATTATTTTATTTAGTATGAAGAAATAATAGAATATTATTATTAGTGAAATATCAAATATACCCTTAAAAGAATATAAATAATCTATTGAGAGATGAGTTCCTTTGAGTGAATGGTAATTAACCATTACATAAAAGCTGTGGGGTTCATCTTGACTAACTTTGTTGCCATTTTCCGCCCAAAAATGGAGTGATAAAAAATGGTGGGCAGAATAGATTGCTTTTCCCCCGTCTTTCCTTTCTAACCAAACAAAAATTGTGTTTTCTATCCTACTTTCTGTTCACCATTTTTCATCTGTACTATTTTCACTTATACCAAACAGGCCATAAGTGTTAAGAGACTTAAAGTTGCGAAACATTTTATTTTTGCTCAAATGTTTCATAAAAATGGATTGAAGACAATAATTGGAGTAGTCTGAAACTAAAACCCACAATTGAAAGTATAATGTGAAAAAGCAAATAGTTTAGAGGATAATGTGAAATTATGGGTATAGTTTAGTGGGTGTAAGTGTAATTTTCTTTTCTAAAGTTGAATATTATAGCGTCCATACTTTCGTCCAGTTTAACACCCACTCCGATTATCTAAACCGGCACTGGTACACCATCGTTAGCGATTGAAAGATGGCGAATCAGGGAGCGAAGAAGCGGAGAGAAGAGAACAATCGTCACATGCGAAACCTCTTTTATCTCATCATCGTCTGCAATGTAACTTTATTCTCATCTTGCTTTCTGTTTGTCGTTTCCTGCATTTTATCGGCAACCAAGCAGAATGTTTAGGTTTTATGCTCAATATGAAGCCAATACTTGTAAAAACCAACATGCTAGTGTATTATTATGTGTTTGGCTGCAAGGAATTGAGGTCAACGATTGGAATCAGGGAAAAAAATTAGTTAGTTCAAAACTCGAACTAATTCTCCCCAATTTTTTCTTCTTCTTCTTCTTGTTTTTTTTTTGTAATGTCAAAGGCTCCATTTTTGCTCCGTCAGACTAAAATTTAGAATAATTGGTTGATGTGTTTAGTAATTCTGTGCTTGGGAAAAAATTAATTAGTTCAAAACTTAATTTTCATTATTTTTTTTTTAATTTTTAAGGGCCCGATTTTTGCTGCCAAACGCAGATTTAGAGTAATTGGTTGATGGGTTTAGTAATTAAATGTTGTTATGTGGTTGTTTAGGCGGTATATCTGTTGGTGAGGGCAGGGATTTTTCACTCTAGTTTCAAGTGGAAGCAGTGGGTTAGTTACATGTTGACGGCTATCTGCTACATCATTCCTTACCTTCAGATTGCCCTTATTGCGAAGCCTAGTTATGATGAAAACGGGGAGCTTTTGGATGGTGGCTTTGATCTAAGTACCGGTGGAGTTTGTGGGTATGTATTACTTTCCCTAGAGCATCTCCAGTCAACCTTGACTCAAATTTGAGTCAACATTTGAGTCTTCCATTATTTGGTATGCGATTGAGTAAAGGGTTGGAACTTGCTTTTAACCTGTTTTTACTCAAATTTAAATTTGAGTTAATATTTGACAAAGGGTTGGAGATGCACTTACTATACATGTGAAACTACATTATTAGAAAGGGTCATTACTTATTTGTTCTCCACTAATCAAGTGTCCTGAGAAGAGGTGGATTAGGAACATACATAACCTTGTCTTATTTGCCCAAGGTTTTTTTTTTGTTCAATCAAAACCAAAATGAACAAACCTAATTCCTAATTGTATAGAGTTGAATAAAAATTAATTGACTATTTGATATAATTTATAATTTTCTATGCGTAGTGTGTGACTCGATGGTTTTTATAATTGCTGCCCCCACAGTAGTTGCAAAAAACTTTGTGATCTACTCAATAATTTGGAAATTTTAAATTTTTTTAGAACTTGTCCCCATTAAATATTTGTAGAAAATTTGGGATAGTTTTATATATTAGAATATAAGTGGGATTGTTGTATAACTTGAAAAACAATTTGCTTGTGGTAGATTGAGTTGCTCCTATATCTAAGTTCAGTTTAAATGGACTTCTGATATATTGATTTTTTTCTTAATAGTTTCTGCTAATTTTGTGCTATGCCTTTTGGTTATTTGTGGCTCTTATAAATTGCTTCTTAATGATTTTATGATAACTATTGAGTTTAACACGGTTTTTTGGTAGATATTGTGCATAATTTTGTAGTGTTTTTTGGTAAGTACATGCAGTTTGTTCCAAAGATACGATATTGCAATATAGTTCAGTGCATACACATCCCAATAGGGCCACACAAACATATAAGGTAGGCATTTAAGCTAAAACCTGAAAAGGATCCAAACGGTGGACGTTCTTTGTATGTTGTTGAAGCTAGCCTAAGTTCAAAATTTTCAACATAGGAGAATGAATGAAAACATCATTTCGAAGAAGAAGATTAGGTAATTTTTCTTTAATGCTTTAACCAGTATAACAGAACAATAGGAGATGTAGTATGAGGCCTGGCCAATTCTTTCATCTATAGTATTGACCTATTATACGCTTTGAATCAACAAATTTTAAGGGTGACATGGTTAAACTATAAATCTTCATTAAATGAAGTTGTTCAATAAGCTCTTTTGTGGTTCAAATTCATACCTCATTGAACTTTAATCATTTTCTGGAGTGAATTCAGGGTTTTGGATTTGGACCATCGCAAAATCTTTGTTTTCTTTGGCTGAACTGAATCATTAAAGTTAAGTTTTCATTAATTTCTTTGTTTCAATTATGGTGACAGTGCTTTTGGGCTAGTTCTGCAATAGTCTGCTAGCACTGGCTTCTATGAAATTGACAACATCCCTTTTTTGTTTCCCTTTTTACGTTGCAACATTTTGATTTCTTTTAAATTGCTGAATTCCTTATTCTTTATCTGTTGAAACTATTTCGAATCCTAATGTTTTTGCCATCATTGAGTCCAAGGTTGGCCTTGTGTTTTTGTTTTATCAACTTCTGTAAGACAGGAAATTAAACCTCTTGATAAGGAGTTAGAAGCATGGTTATCACAATTCGCTAAACTCTTAACGACCCACGATCTAGATATAAGGATCGCAAACGAGGTGGGTTCGCGATCTAGATCATCACAAAAATGGACGATCCCAAATTGTAATATTATCCCTAAATCAATTTGTTTTAGAACATGTAGTACAAATATAAAATACAAGTTAATTGACTACATGCATATAGATTTATAATTATATATTGTTTTAGATAACAAAAAATCAAGCACAACTATAAGATAAATAGTAACCAACTGTGTTTATGAACGTTCTGTAATATATAATGTTGTATAATAGTGAAAACGATCCATATAACAGTTTCAAAAAGAATTGCGATCCAAAATATTGTACTAGCTAAACCTACTCCCATCATCCCGCATACTTAAGAAAGTGTTGTACCACGTGCTCGTACCCATACCACGTACCAAAGCGACCTACAATCTAGGTAACATTGGTTAGAAGTACATGAAAAGCATAAGAACTGCATTCAGTTCATCATCTTGCTGCTGATGAACTGCATTCATTTCATTTATAAGGCGGAGATCTGTTTAATCGATGCACTATAATTAGAATTCATTAGATGATAGAGATGCATTGACTTGATCACTTCTAATGCCAAAGTCGAACTTTTTGCCATTTTGTTGGAGTTCTTGTGTGCTTTATAGACTTTCACTGAATTGAACTGTGTGAAAAATCTGATTAATGGGCATTTTAAAATTCATGCTGTCGTCCCTCGCTCAAACATTACTAAATGAATAATACTCGGAGCATAAAACAAATCTGCCTCTTTCCTTACATTTTACCATTTGCAGAAAGCGTGATACATCCTTTTGAGATTCTTGTTATTTTTGTCTGTCAACTTTAAAATTTCAGCTAGCTGTAGTAAAAAAAAAGGTTTAAATTTCCATTGAAATGATCCATTTGTTTTACCTTGTTCTTGTTTTTTTCTTGCAGATATCTACATGACATAATCTACATTACATGCTTTGTGCAACTTGCATCTATCATCTCTGAAAAATTTTGGTACCTATATTTAGTGGTAAGCTCCATTTCCCAATTTTGCCTTTTTCTATGCATTCCCACGCCGATTTAAGAGCCTATAGTCATGTGATATACATATCAGTTAAAGGATCAAGGAAGCTGATGGTAATAAGGTAATGATGGGCACCCAACATGTATCTGGAAGTGACATGTGAATTTGTTGAAACAGCTGTGAAGAATTACTGAACGAAGTACTAACTCATGTTTTCGCAATCATTGTGAGTTTAACTGAAAATAGGTTAAGTGTTCACTTGGTAGGAACATGCTTGCCATCTGGTTGCTTTTGAGCATTGGCAGCTTAATACAGAATTCTGTCTTTGAAGTTTTAAGCCTTATTTGTTTTCATGTCTATTTTTTGTCGTTGCCTTGTTATCATCTCTGTTGTTGTCTTCATCATCTGTGTACTTATTCATGGGAAGATCTCTTTTTGTTTCCTTGGTAGGTGTCATTTTTCTCTTTTTCTTTCAAGAATAAGTTAGCAGTCTTGGAAGATAATGGTGAGTGTTTGGATTGTGTTTTGTTATGCTTAGAGTTCAAGGGAACAGTAGAGATCTGCTGTAGTGAAGCTTTTCTATTTGAATTGCCTCTCCAGAAGGAAATGCCTGGTGAAAAGAGAAGCTCGGGTTGGGCATCCCCACTTAGATGCCTTATTTTTAAGTGGTTGCTTCATTATTTTGATAATATGCAACCTACTGGTGGGTGAACTAGACTGGCTTGAGTTAAAAGTAGGATCATGAAATTGTTTTGTGAGCATGGGTACAAGCACACCATCAAATCATTTTTGAACATGGGGTTGAATATGCCCTGGATGTATGTTCGGGAATCATTTTATCTGGAAATCAGTATAATTTTTGATTAGGACTATTACATTTCAGCAAGTATCATAAAAAAAATTGAACCTGTGATGTGAAAAATACCATTAAATTGTGGTTCACTGAAAAGTTTTATATCCTGATGGTTGCGGGGATCTTATATATGTATTTCCTCAAAAAGTATACCACAAAATTAACTCTTCTCTCTCTCTCTCTCTCCAAAAAAAAAAAAACTCTGGCCATAAAAAAAAGGTGTCATTTAGATTTGTACTAATTAAGCTGTTGAAGCATGAGAAGCTTAGCTGGATTTTATGAACGTTTTGTTTGTCAGATACCAGCATTTGGAACATATAAACTCTTTGGTATCTTGAAAGGGTTTTTGTGGCAAGGTACAGAGGTACATTCTACCCTTAGATTTCTGTTCTGTCTTCACAGGAAATGGATAGCAATTATAGACTGACTAGGGTAGATGGTTTTTATGAACGTGAAATGCACAGGGAGCTGAAGAGGATGAAAAAACTCAAAAGAAGAGAGAAAAGAGAGCTTCAAGAGCCAAATATGTGAGGACTAGGACCCGATAAGGTGATTGTGAAATGAAGAGAAGCACTTCTCCATTCCTTCTCTTGAATGCAAATTAAGATTACTATTTCACTGCACTGGGTACTGTGGTTTGTGAATCGAAGAACAACCGTCTGATCTTGTGGCTGCAAATGTATGGTATTGTTACAGATTATGTACTCGAATAAGTGTTTTTATGAAGTACTCTTTAAAAGTTGTGTACTTATATATTCCTTTGCTGATATATATATATATATATATATATATATA